ACCTAGCTCATTCACCAAACTCGGAAATACTGGGTGTCAATGAACAACAATCATTCATTGTTTGTTTTGTTTTGCAGAAAAAATATATCTCCATTGTAACAAATTAGAAAATTGAGCTGTTCTGGAGCTATATTGTTCCATCAATCTACACTATGTACTGGATATTTACTTTGCTTCTAATTTTAAAAATAAATAAAAAATGAGCATTTGTGTGTCAAGAAGGGCCCCATGCATGCTTCTAATATTTACTTTACTTTGCTTCATTTCTGATTATCGCGCTGAATATCTCTCAAAACTGGCCATATGGAAGATCAGAGGATTGTCATTTCTGATTTGAAGACGGCAATTGGACTTAATCTAAACAGGAATCCAATAAAATGCATTAATGTTCACATACTCCCTCCATTTTTGTATACAAGGCCTCTTCATTTTTCGTGTCAAACTTTGACTTATAATTTTGGTCAACAAAATATGAGTTATATGCCATCAAAAATATATCATCAAAAAGTTTTTTGAGAAGTGCATCCAATGGCATACTTTTCATGGCATATAACTCGCATTTGGTTGATAAAATTAATGATCAAAGTTAGATATAAAAATATGAAGTGGTCTTGTGTACAGAAATGGAGGGAGTATTATTACTCTCTCCATATCACAACTAGGTGGGTGACGTCTCGTCCATGTCTCCATATAATTTTGATCATTCCGACTGAAAATTTAAAAATCATATGCACATATTCTTCTCAAAAATGATGTGGACAACATTATGGGGTGAGCTCCTAGTTCCCCGAGGGGACAACCAAATCACTAGGGTCTAGGGTCACAGAGACACGGGGAACAAGAGACGGGGGAGGGAGGGACCTTGGTGGCGGGCGCAGATGGTGGGGTGGAGGCCGAGGTCGGCGAAGGAGCAGGAGGAGAAGTGCCCCTCCTCGTCGTCTTCCTTGGCATACACCTTCGCATTCACCACCGCCGCCGACCTGCCAAGCTTTCTCTCGGCCGCCATGGAGAGGTCGCGGACGAGAGGAAGGAAGAGAAGGAGAGGGGTCTGTTTCCGCCTTCATAGAGCGTTTACGCACTTGATGAAGTGTTGAGTTGTGTTTTAACTGGGCCCTGGGCTATGTCATGTTGGGCCCACCTGTTCAAAACTCTATCCCTAAAAAAAACTCCACCAAAAGAGAGTACCACCCCTAAAAAAAGGAAAGTACCACAACATTTTAATGAACAAAAGTGTGTGGGCCTCCAAGAGTCAAGGGTTCAAATATAGTTCCTGAATGATGAGGCGGAAAGAGGGTGGTCTTTGTAAACTTAAATGATTCCTAAACTCAGAGACATAAACATGGATTAATTAAGGCAAAAGCTTACCGTTAAGGGAAGATATGAGATTGTGGGTGTGTGTGTGTGTGTGTGTGTGTGTGTGTGTGTGTGTGAGAGAGAGAGAGAGAGAGAGAGAGAGAGAGAGAGAGAGTGATGTCGATGTGGACGATTCTTCATTTCCATTTTGGTCTGATATAGATGTTCCTGTCTAGAGGATGTTGCTTCATCGATGCGAAGAAGCAGATTATGAAATGGATGTACTTAAGGAAGAAAAAGTATTTGATGGAACACCTAAGTTTGATTGAGGAGCGGAATCAACTATTGATGGACGACATGCCTTTTTCGTTTAATCATCCCGAATGAGGGTTGAAATGCAATGGTACATATTCAATCAAGCAAAATTAAATTCTGATTTAGATGGAGCAAACAAAAATCCATAATAGGAAAGAAAAAGGAGAAATGCATGGCTATGTATTGAATCAAGCAAAATGAAATCTACATATGAATAAAGAATCCAGAATAGAGAAAGAATCAAATTGAAGGCTATGTATTCAAATTCAATGAAGCAAAATTAATCTATATACAGGGGAGAAGGAGGAGCTGTATCTTGCTGTCGATCTTGGCATTAGAAAGAGTTTGCGCGTATGCAAATTTGGAGACGTTGCTTGTTCGTTCGACCACGTCGTTCACGTTAGGACGCGTTCTGTTTTATCCCTAAAATTAGAATGACTGTCAGATATGACAGTTGTTTCTTACATGTCTGGAGCGTAGCCAGGCCTAGGATTAATCGAGAGGGTGACTGTTGCAATCTGGAGCATCCTCTGTCACAATCACCATGGCTATTGTTGGGAACAAAAGACTTATGTAGTTTACATCAACACCACAGTCCACAGACAACCGTGCTCTCCCTCCTCAAAGATTCTAATCTGATCGTGCTGCTACTTAATATAATTTGAGCGGAGAGTAGTAACCGTTTTAGACTCGAGACGAAAAGATCTCCAGGACTAAGCGGACATGACCCAAATGCTCCAGAAGTAAGTTCAATCGATCATTATCGCACCATATCGGCAATTTTGTTTATTTCCTGATATTAAGTAATTATTTTCTTTGTCTGACAGCATTTGAAAAGAGTTCACCGTAATTACTCCGGGACTGCCGAGCGAGCTGCGATTTGTACACCCGAAAGTAAGTACTACTACCTAGTTCCACGCATCTACCATTGATTCTAGCTAGTTTCATCAATACCATTTAGCATGCTTGCTTAATTATCAGTTTGATTGACCTCTATTTTTCATAAAGTGTTCGTGGCAGGAATCCGGGAATGATTTTTGTGGATACTACATTTGCGAGTTCATCTACAACACGACGGCCTCTAAGAGGGGCTACTCTGAAAAACAATTTGAAGTGCGTAAGCAAAAATATTCACAATTTTATTTTATTACCATCATTTGTGTTGAGTTTCATTCATATACATGTATTGACTCTCTTCTTTAATTTAGATGTGGCAGATGCGGGATGAACTCCTACCACAAAATCACATACGGGCAATTCAAGAGGAATTGGCGGGATTCTTTCTTGACCACATCATCAATAAAGCCGGAGAATAGCATGTGGAATTTGACATTAGATGTTAGGGATTGTAAGAGATCTTATATATTGTATATATGTAGCTAGTAGCGTCGGATAGATATACGAAAACTTGTTGTTCGACCAATCTCTCGGAGAAAGAAAGGCCGATCACTTCTCTCTGTATATGTTCATGACGATCTTGTGTACTTAATGGTTCCTTCATTTGCTTACTAGCTAGCGTGTCGAGTTCTCTTTATACGTATAGTTGCTAGCGTCGACCAAGCACGGAGAAAGAAAGGACACT